TCAACGGCCATCTGAAGCGCAGGTACCGAGCATGGTGGATGAAGTACAATTATATCCTGTCAGCTGGACTCGATGCGGCGCTGGCAGTCGGCAACTTTCTTATCTTCTTCTGCTTGGCGTACCCCGGTGTTCAGCTCAAGTGGTTCGGGAACGAAATCACCGCGCGAACCGCCGATGGGATGGGCGTGCCGTTGCGAACGGTGGAGCACGGACAAACCTTTGGGCCGCGTACTTGGAATTGAGGCTGGTGAAGAGTTGTCAGATAATGCTGATTATAGCACTTTTGCAGAAATCTTCATCTAGTAATCTACCCGCTCAGTACTTTTGCTGTCTGTCTGCAGTCTGCTGCCAAAATAGATGATGTCAGCACGTGCGGAGGTGGAGAGCCTACATCCCCACTTCACCTGGGGTAATTATCATCTGGATACAGAGCTGGAGTATCTAACCAATAAATAAATGCGACATTGTGCAGATTATGGAACACGTCATGCTCAAGTTAGATATGATTAAATGCGCGATTCTCTGATTATTGCTAGATAAGAGGCAGAGGACAAAGAAACTAAGTCTCTCCACCCCAGGACGACAGTGGTATGACATGGCATGATCTCTAGTTACACTGTACTTGCATGCAGTGGCCGCAAACCATGCGACCGGAATAGAAGAAACCTGAGCAACAACTAGCAGCATTAATACCTAACTATCAGCAGCCAGCGATTCTCGTAACTGCCAACGTGGATAGTGAGATTGAAAAATGGGTAATGTCACCGTTCACAAGACCCCATACGGGCCCAACCCAGATCCCCTTGTCCAACTGCCAAGGAAGCTAAATCCAAAGCTGGACTCAAGAGTCTCAGACTAGTCAACACCTGAATTTCCCAGGCCCAGTCAGCTCGCCCTTCCGCCCGCGGCATGTCTACCAGGATTTGTTGTCGGAGCCGGGGCTGAATGGCTGTGCTCTGGGCCCCAGTTGGAATGTGAAGGTACATACAGTACTTACGGAGTACGCAGTACTCTGTACCGCGACGCCTTGGAATTTAGTTCCACAACGTAAGGTCGTGGATCATACCAAGAATACAGGTAGAAATAGAATAGGTAGACGAGTTAGGCGGCCAGCAACAAAGAAACATACTTGTGCTGTTTCATCTCACCTTGCAGATTTAGATTTGCGATCGCCGTAGATAATTGTAGATAGATACTCTGTCGAGAAAGGATCGGATGGCTCGTGTGTGGTAATCCTGCAAATCACTGGAAATGGTCTGATTAAGGTGCACGCCAACTTTAAAGGCTGGAGCGAACCCCGCCATGAGTGAGGCGACGGGCGGCAAACCAGAAGACAAGACGCGATTGTCGAGTGGATGATAAAGAGCTTGTTCTGGCGCAGGTGCGGTATGATTAAATGCTTCCCCCCCTCGCTCTGATTTCATTTTCATTCCGTATCTTCTGTCCTCGTCCCGATCCGCGGTCGGTCGCATTCTCAATCCATCCATCGTCACTAGCTAGTAGCTACTGTCTGTACACCCGTTTCTACGGTACACAAGCGGCCAATCCGTTGTTCCCAGCCAAAAGCGCAGGCCATCGACGAGTCTGGAACGGACCATGGGGCTGTCGTCAAGCGACGGAGAAATGAACAGTAAAAATCATCACATGGTCATCGTGCTCGGTATAGGATTGGGAGTCGTCTCATTGATCATCATGTGTCTGCTGTGAGTCTTTTCCCATTACTATCTACCAGGCTCTGCGCTATACAAGCAAGGTAGCTAATTTAACAGATTGACCATCTTCATCAACCGCCGCGAGCGAACGCCCACCAAGAAGAAAAACAGAAAAGACCACGGCGATAAGTTGCGCAGATTGGACGCCGTCTCGCCGATCCGAACGCTGGAAGAATGGTGGTCCAAATCGAAAGGTCCTCTTTTGCCCTCCGAAGGGGCGGATGGGCAGTTTATCTGGTACGTGGGCTTTCCAGCTGAAGCGATCACGAAGCTCATCCCCGGCTAACACTCATCTTCATCAGCGTCGTCTGTCTTGAATCCGTCCTACGCTCCCAGGAAATCCGAGAACTCAAATGTCTGCACGTCTTTCACAGGGAATGTCTGGATAAGTGGTACCTGCAGGACCACTTCAACTGTCCGCTCTGTCATCGCGCATATTTTGTTCAGGAGCCGCGGCCCAGTCACGACTTTGTATGGATGGTATGACGGTGTCGCGTGTTTTGACGGTCGGCCATCGTGGATTTCTGCTTTTTGTTGCAGCACCCAACCCGCGCTGGACGCCGTAATGCTTACCAAAGACTTACGACTTTGTCTTATGATGTTATGACCAATGCAATACCTCACAAATGAACCAACACCGATCAGACGGGAAACCCATCTCTCGATGGTAGATACTCGAAATTGAAATCCCAGGTGTTGGGATTATACCAGTCCAAGACGTTGTACAGGCCCGAGGTCGCATCGTTGAAGACTTCGGCTTGCACAGGCTGTGGGTCGAGAATCTGATCGAGGATATGCGACAGTTTCTTCTCAACCTCCTTGCATGTCTGGTAATTCCCATGGCCGGGGCGCGCTACCCAGGACAGGCATGAGAGAAAGACGCTTAGGTTCCGTATGAGTTCGGCCCGCGGTAAACCGATGGCATGGGGTCCGACTTCCCGGCTCTGTCGGAGGAGCTCGAGTGTCAAGACGCTGGCGCTGGGGAGACCGTAATAGAGAATCTGTACAGTGTCAGTCTTTTGAAGCCACGAACAAACCGCGCAGAGTGTTCATACGATCCATGAGTAATGCCGGGTCATGTCCATCAGTGAATCTCTCTCCGCGTTGATTCTGATGATGTTTGACAGTACCTGTCTGGATGTTTCGAAAAGTGCCGCTTGACCGGTGTTGGTGCGTTTGACAAGCGTTCTCTGAACCAGAAAGACGGTGTACAGGTAGTCGAGATAGGTATGAAGTAACGCAAATGACGAACAATAAATATCATTCTCCTCCACGTCCGCACGAATATCGTAGCGCAGATAGGTAGGAGCTGTGTCCCATGTATTCCGTGCTTTCTCAACCAGGCGACTACGGAATGTTCAGCAGTGGTAGAGCGTTTGGCTTCGGGGTCTTACTTTGATTTCTCCACGAGATCATCCTGATCACCAGTGCCGAGCGCTAGTTCAAGCGCCTCTTCCCGGAAGATGGCGAGCAGGAATCGAAGGCGAATTAGTGTAACGGGGTGGGCGGTCCCATAAACATGCCATCCCGCCTTGTCCAGATCCGATATTGCTTGCGTCAGAGTGCTCCCGCCCGCAAGTAGTATTTCATGACTGATATCCATCGGGGGAGTCAACGTGCAGTATCGGTAATTGATGAGGGGCGGCCGGCCCACGAATGTAGCAAGCGACTTGTCCGCATAGAATGCCGAAGCAAAGCAGACTCTTCTCCATTGACGTAGGAACCACGGGCAGTCGTCGGTCTGAGTGCTCTCTTGATGAAGACCGGCAGCGTAGATCGTGGCCGACAAATCACCCAGTCGACGCCAAGCTTGATAACCTACATAACAATCAACAAAACATCAACTGTTCGCGGTGGGTAGCCATACTGGAGTCTCCGTATTGCTGTGTCCTTAACATAACGTCGTTGTACTGGTAGAAGCCCAGGAGTTCATTCACCGACGATGCCTGATCGCAGAAACCGAGGCAGATGCCACTTGCCTCAACGATCTGAGCGCGTAGTCGATCTTTGGCCTCGCTATCAGGCGCTGCTTGTGTGAAATTAGGATCGCTGTCAGGCGTGGACATCAACGCTATTCCGGCAATCGCAAAGATATTCCCCAGGGCTTCCCATCGGGAGTTCCTCCCAGTAAATGAAGATAAGTACTGCTCCACGGTCATCGAACCATGAACAGTCAGCGGGCGAGAAGTATTTTGAAAAATCTGATTGACCAAATCTTGAAACTGAGATTCGAAGTCATTTGCGTCTAAACTGTCAAATATCCTTCGGATGGACTCAACGATCGAATAAATGACGATCTTCGGCACGATGGTAATCACTGTCCGAGCATGGTACTTGCGAATCATGATATCGCAGACCGGAAGATCGTAGAGCAATTTGAGCACCTCCGAGCCCATTTGCAATCGATCCGAATCAACAGAGCGAGTGGACACTGCAGCCGCCGAACTGTTGTCTACTTCAAATGGGATGTCACTGCGATGCTCGGCAAGAACAGCTGAATAGCTGGTCGACCCAAGGTATCCAGGAAGGGCCGACGGCGGCTCCAGAGTCGTACGGAACCGACTATGTTCACGATTTGAGCCAGGACTTGAGGCACTACGAACAGTCAGTCTCTACCATGAATGCGCATCATCATCAGCCGGGATCACGAAAGGGTTCTGACTTTGAACTGGGCTGGCTCGTCAATCTCCTTGATGATTCGATGGGGCTGGCTCGACTGGCATCTGTTCGCTTTGTCATTGGGGCAGGATGATAGAAGCATCGGCTAGTGATGTTCTTTGCCGTACAGCGGCCACACACCGGTCTCCCATGATCACAGCGCAATTTCGCTTTGCGACAGGGTTCGCAGGACTGGAGCGTTCCATTGCGACGGACTGCCGGCGACCGGGTTTGTCCTGTGATTTCGACCATCCTCGGCAGCTTGAAAGTATCTTCCGCGAAAAAGGTCTGGTGTCCATGAGATCATCACAACATTTTCAAGTTTAAGGCTAAGTTCGAGAGTTGATTGAAGATGCATCTGAAAGGATTATGGTGAGAGTGAAACATGGTCATATCGGCAAAAGTGGGCCTTTGGCCGTCTAGCTCAACGCGGTTAGCGTGTTCGAATATAGATCTCTATCAACAAATCCTACTACCTTACGCACTCAAGACGAACTCTTTCCGAGAACAATACCAGTGAGGCCTAATATACTAGATTTACCAACGGAGAATCTACTACGAGATTGCTCCTATGTCGACAATTTGCCTTGATATGTGATCTCACCGGGCACAAGTTGACACAACCGGACCTCAATTTCTTCGCTCCACCAACAACGCCTCCCCGTAGTGGCTGATATTGTACCCGTTTTCTTCCAGATAAGCCTTGAACCGAGCATCTTCGGTCTCCAGCTCACGGGACATGTCCGGGATTAGGAACCACGAACAAAGGCCTCCTAGCACAGCGAACCCAGAACCAATCAAAAACACCGCCTGCTGACCTTTGAAGGTGAAATCGAAAGAGTTCTGGATCGGAGTGAATACTTCTGCCCAATGGCAGCGCCAGCTTTGCCGACAGCTGCTGCCAATTCCATGAAGTGGTCTCGAAGCGGGGTTGGAAAAGACTCTGAGGCGCAGAGGAACGTCGATACGCCAGGACCCATCTCTTGGAAGGCGTTGAAAATGCCATACATCACAACGAATAAGGGGAACACAGACTGGATAGGGCGGAGTGCTACTCCCAATATGAATCCCCAAATGGCGCAGAGCATGAATCCGAGGGTCATGTTTTGTTTACGTCCGATCCGATCGATCAGCAGCCCACCCACTATGCAACCTGGAAGGTAAAAGCAATTGACCACCGTCTGCAGCACAGGCATAGAACGTTAATCCAGGTCGTGGTCAAGTATAACTGGCAGTGGATGCACTTACCCCGAAACCAATGTTCTGAACTGTGGTGTTATCGGGCCCGAGTTGAGAGATGATTGTGGATGAAAAGTTTAGGGGGGCCGAGCTGGCAGCGTTTGAGGCGGATCCGCTGCGCGAGGAGATGGTCATGTTGAGGCTTTGGGATGATGGGGCTAAGGTTCCGGGGATTGAGGATTCGACGCCGCGCGCGGGGGAGTATCTGAGGATGATTGTGGGGCATCTGGAGAGGGTGGCTGGAGCTGACTAGCTGTACATGTAGATGGATGATTTGTGAAGCGATCACCGAACATGGCCATTGATTAGGGATGTCTTGGTGGTAATGTGGCTTCCTGTAGACTAGGTAGTCTTGGATCGTCACCTACTCCGCTGGTCGAGTATATGACTACGGAGGAAAGATGGAGAATTCTCATGATTATGCATGTCGTTGCTCAAGGCATAAGGCTTGTGGTAATGTATGCTTTGATCGTTCATACAAAAGGGTATAGACGGCATGACGCGTTCATCTAATACGTCCAACGCAACCTCAAACACGGTGCTCCACGTTTGTTGCAGAGATACCAGCTTCCTCGGTCTTCTCGGCTACATTCTCGGGCAGAGTGCCCAGGGCGCGGCCGCCGAAGAGCAAATCAATCTCTTCCAGAGACTTCTGATTGGTTTCCTTGAAGAAGAAGTAGATTACCGGCAGCGTAATGCAAATGTCTAGACAAGATACAGTTAGTCCGTTCCAAGAAGATAACACCTTTGTTTGGAAAGAGCAAACTTACTCCATGCTACAAAGACAAAGTAGAACTTCCATCCAAGCTTGCCCAGAGCAATGGGAGAGACCTGGGCCCAGAGAGTAGCCACAGCCCAGTTACCGATACCCGTCGCAAAGGCGTTTCCTTTACCACGAATCTGCATAGGCATGACCTCGGACATGTAGACCCTTGATTGCAAAATCAGCTAGCGTCGTCGAAAGTAGTGTGACGAGAATACTTACCAACTGCAAGGGCCAAAGGACAGGGAAAAGATAATGGTCACGCAGAAGAGGAATGCAACACCACCGATACTGTAGCCATGGCGGCTACCATCCTCATTCTGCGAGTTCAATGCTGCTTCACAGATCAAGGCAATGGAAATTCCGATAGCACCAAACATCATGGGCTTGCGCCGTCCTACTCTGTCCAGAATGAAGACGATGAAGAACAAGTTCGTGAGAGGACCAACACAGTTGTAAATACCGGCAACTAGCGTGGCTCTGTTCCCTGTGATACCGAGCGCTTCATACATAATTGTTTGATAGTAGCCGATCACGTTGACACCGGTAAATTGAGTGAAGACCTGCACGGCGACACCATGCCTATATGATATAGTTAGCACGGCGGTAATATCAGGAGGGTGGCCGGCTGGCGGCCGTGGGGAGGGCGTACATTAACCTCGTCCGCCATTGAGGGACTTGAAACATGATGAGCCAGCCAGGCGCCGTAACAGCCTTCTCGGCATCAATAGTCGCTTTGATTTCGGTGTATTCGTTCTGAATCCAGTCGTCATTGGTACCGTCGTAGTGCAATCTTTTCAAAATCCTCATCGCCTCGTCGTACTTCTCGGTCTCAACCAAGTATCGAGGGGACTCTGGCATGAAAAGCATGCCAACAGCGAGAAGCAGAGCAGGGACGGCCTGAAATGACACGGGGAATCGCCATTGGAACGAACTCGTGTCTTTTGCGTGAAGTGATCCGTAACCCACCCATCTAGCGGATGTCAGCAACCCCTCGACATCACAACGGGAAGACCGTCACGTACGTGCTGACGATGAAACCAACACCAATCATCTGCTGCGCCAGCCCAACAATCAAACCACGAGAGCGAGGATGGGCACACTCGGCCTGGTAGACGGGAACGGACATGGACATGAGACCGACAGCCCATCCTGCCATGATACGGCCGACGAGAATCATGGCCAGGTTCATTGCCGCACCCTGAAGAATAGCACCGATCAGACAGATAAGAGCACCCATCTGGATGGTGAATTTACGCCCGAACCGATCCATCGTCAGACCTCCCTGAAGGGCTCCAATGGCGGCTATCGCAGTCATTCGTCAGTGAGTGAGCAGAACTGCAGCAGGAAAGGGAAGACCTACCGCCCCCATTGAATGTACTGTTAATGGCACCGATAATGGCGGAGGTCTTGGTGGTGTTGAAGAAGGCGAGGAAATTAGGACTCGCGATAACATCGGTCATCACACCAGCATCGTATCCTTTTAATAAGCGAATTAGCCATAAATTCGGATAGGGGATATAAAAATGGGTGTTTTTGCAACTGAGAAGGAGACAAAAGGCGTCTCAAATCCCACAATTCACAAAAAAAGGGGGTTGAAAAGTATCATTGCTGGACGTACCAAAGAGAAACGATCCAGTAGCTGCGAAAGCAGCCAGACTGATGGTGAAAAGGCGGCCCATTTTGCTACACTCGAAGACAGCAATACTAAGGACCAGCAAGAAGCGGAGTGCATCTGGGGAGCAAAACCGGCTGGGGAGCAAGCCATCTATCTCTATATGAAATCTAGGTTCAGCCATTCGCGACGAGCCATCGAATAGTGAAAAGGCTCGTGTCGCTGGCACCAACGAAAGAAGCGAGCCATGCCAACTTGAGAGCACAGCGAAGGGCAAGCGGGGAGAGAACCTCCAGATCCAGGGATTGCGGGTTAAAGCTCCAAGCTAAGACTCTCAGCAACCGACAATTCAGCCGGACAGTCCACTCGAGGCATTCGCTTGCTGCTCTGACACTCCTGCGGCAAAGAAGAATGATGTGGTGTGATTGGTGCAATAAATAAAAGTGAGACTAACAAGTGACATTTATCCTCCTGTGTTCCTATTGATCGAACAACCCTGCCCAAGCCAGGTATATCAAGGGGATTTCTCCGTCCAGACTATCGTCGACCCAGCCAAGCAACCACCTGTTTTCAAGGCTGCCATGTGCCATTGTCACGTTACACTCGACGCCGGTGGAGTTAGTTTCTACTTGGAATGGCGGATCCGTACTTCCTGGCTACGGAGAAAGGTGACTAGTATACTAAATAAATAATCCTAATAACTATTTCTAGCTAGCAGTGAATACTTATTGTGGTTTTCACTTTGCTTAAATTTCTAGTGGTAATCTTGTGCTTAATAAATTATTTCTTTCACCTCCTCCCTTGCACAAATGATAGAGCCTTTATAGTTTAATACTGTTCTTCAAGTCTGTTAATAAACTCAGAAAATATAGTATTAAGGCATGAAGTATGATTTGATCTTAATAAAGCCACAGCACATATGACCATAAGAGTGTGGAAAACAGCTTCCCATCCACTCAGCCGTACTTAACCACACGCCGGCCAGTTAGTAGTTGGGTGGGTGACCACCAGCGTCCCAGCTGTTGTATGTTGGATCACCTCTTTTTTTGGATTTGTTAGGATTAGCGCCCGTGCCGCCTTATCTTCAGGCTGGCACCCGGAATATGTGGGATAGACGGCATCGTGGTCGCTGCTTTGCAGGAGATTAAAGGGCACTAGTGGTCGAGGAAGCGCCCATCGCGGACTACACCCTTTGGTTGGTTGGGAGACTCAAGGTCAAGGCACTTGAGGAAGGGAAGGAATGAACAATGACAGGCTGGGAGGGATAACGCTACTGCTGTCGGATCAGGCACACAAACTTCAAAATGGGAAACAGGTGCACAGCAACACTAAATAGAAGCAGTTCTGAACACTTATTGCAATACTAGAAGCTGCATAGGCTGATTTATCAGTTCCCTCTGCAGTCTGTCCAGTTTCCATTCAGGCCTAAACAATAAACATTTTTATGGCGTCATCAGATATCTTAGACTATTATTACCATATTTAGAAAGACCAACAATAGTGGTAGTGTTGAAATTTAATATAAAATAAATATATGTGAGTTTTTTATAGCAATGACTCACACAAGCTTTTACAGTATAAATGAGCATTTCAACTTTCCTCGAAAACTTTATACCCTCAGAATATTTTATTCATTCTGTGAACAATTTCACCTAGGAAATATTAAGGCTAATCTCTGAATGAAACTATTCACTTGAAAAAAGATTCATTAATAAAAATTCAGTGTTGAAAAAAACCAGTGCTAAAACAGTTTATTCTTAAAAAGCTTCAGCCACTGTACTACATGCAGATACTGTAGGTGTATTGCATGTTTGGCGTACGCCATATTTTCAGCTGCATGGCGCTGATTATGTAATGACGGCTCTGGCATAAGCCATGTTTGGCGTACCTCCTAAGGATGATGAAGAGACGCTTTTCGATCTGGTTTTCAACCAAGACATTGACAGACCCTCCACGCTGGAGGGAGTTCTGGCTCCAAATTTTATTGTACGGAGTGATGATGGCTAGAGTCTTACAGTCTGTAGTGAAGCCCTGAACCCTTCAATACTTCCAGCTGTGAGAGCATTCATGCTCAGCTTTATGAAAGTTATCAATACATCTAAGGATGTGCTTCAGTTTTTCCCTAACAGACTTTCAGCGGGAGTGCTTGATTACTGGGCTAGGATTAGGCAATACCGCTCTACATGTGCGGATGGAACACTGGCCAATACTATGATTGAACAAGAGCCGTGGATTGAAGCAACCAGAATGTCCACAGCCCTTAGGATACTCTCGACCGCACAGGTAGAGGCTCAAATCTTGGCTGATTCCATCGAAGCACTCATTCATTCTCTTGGACAGTAAATTCAGGAACTAGCTGACAATGGGTGGCAGCATATCACGCCATCGCTTAGCTCACTGGACTTAAAGTCAGCTAGCAGTCACGCGCTGGTGTCCACCCACTTTCTCCAGCTCACCCAACGAGCTACGAACACGGCTGATGCTTCACTCCTACAAAACTATGATCGCGTCCTGGCAATGATACGACGGATACGAGCAACAGTAGATTCGAATGTAGATGTGCACGTCAGCCGATCTGGCGGGGACGGTGTATCCGCTTCATCCAATGGTGCTTCAATCCGCGGTCTAGGACCCCATCTATTTAGGCTACGCAGCGATGTTAGGCTGCCAAAGGGCGAGGAATCCCCCAACCCTCAATGCACTGTGAAGATATGTGGTGGATCAGAGCTGGAGTTAACTGCGACTGGCACTGTCACCTCCGAGGTCGATGCCCGCTGGCCCGTCTACTTATGCCAGCTGCAAGGTACCGACAAGGACACTCTGTTGGAAATGGGTTTTTGGCATGTTGCTTGGCTGATCATCAGTTCGGGTACCATAACAGAGGAACAACTCCAACGATCGCAGCATTGGGATGTTATCGGAGGCAAAGTTGAGTCTCCTGCGAGCCTTGTGCCTGGAGAGAAATATGCGGGTTGCTGGGCCAAGCGCTAGGCACGGATATTCTGTCGTCGATCATGGGCACGTCGTAATAACATGGATCCGTATGACTACTGGTATGCCTTAGTACACGATCTTCTCTGATTGGCTATAACTGTAAGAAAAAGTCAATATTCCCAGTGTTGAAGTTGCGAAGTTGTGTGGGATTTTAGGAATTGACAATAATTACTGGTTTCCAGACAAAAACCTTTGCTTTTGGTATTTTAATATTAAAGTAATTCTCCAACTAGAATTTCAATGTATCTGCCAGGGTCCTAGGTACAATAACGCAGGCGATTGTGGGAGGGTGCTTCAGGTTGGCGTTGTGTATTTCCAGACAAGATAATGATGCTTCTATCGGTCTTGATATCCTAAGCCGTGTCGGGAATCTCTATGCGCGGTCACTAACTGGATTGGAAATAGCGCCCAGGAATAATCCAGCCCCAGATTTTGTGGACTGTTTATAGTCTGTTACACTGCGAGGAGAAGCTAACTATAAGGTGAATCAATTCTACATAGTACTCCTACTACTACTACTACTACTACTACTACTACTACTACTACTACTACTACTACTACTACTACTACTACTACTACTACAAACCAACCCAAGACCCACATTTATATCTTCTACATAGTATTGCGGCATTTAATGATCCATGCACATTTGAGCCTATATCCAATCCTTCACAGCTACAGACCAATTGCATGTCAGACTTTGAGTCACGTACTCAGGCAGTTGCGGCACAAATTTGTCAAATGACGAATCCCTAACTAGTGCTTACTCTAAACCTTTAAATTCAACTTTGGGAAACCTTATTTCTACCTTGTTTCTTGGGAAAGCAAGGATCAGACTGGATCTATCTGATCACCACTGTTTCATTAGTTAGTTAGAATGTTAGATATATAATAGCGGGCTCCACTTTATTAATGAACTGATATGAGGGCACCTGGGTACCCATTAATTGGGATATTCATAGTTGTTAAGGATGTGGAGTCTTTGAAGAGTGCAAGGGTAGGGGGTAAGCCAGCAGCCGCCCTGTACATACCTTGTTAACTTTAAGGGATTCTAGTCTTCTTTTATATTTTGACCTAGACTAAGAATGAATGTAAGGTCTAACTAACTATGTAAATGGTGATAATAATCACTAGATATCGTTGCACGTCCAATAGACTTCCCCAAAGTCATATACGTGCTGGTCGATATCACATCCTCCCCTGCCTGGATCGAACTTCGTCCGCGGAGTTCTTAGTCAGCCATCATTGCGGGAAATTTGTCGGCACCCGACGAAGCAACCACGTGGATACGACCGTCAATGGCGGTCAGCAGACGACGGCTTCGGAGCCTGCCATGGTTCAGATCGATCCTTTGTGAGGGGTTTCGAACCTTCCCAGGATTCGAGCGTCATGCATTCGCTCGATCCGGACATGCTACCAGATGGGATATTCGTAGTCGTTAAGGATGTGGAGTCTTCAAAGAGTGCAAGGGTAGGGGGTAAGCCAGCAGCCACCCTGTATGTACCTCATTGACTTTGAGGGATTCCAGTCTTCTTTTACATTTTGACCTAGACTAAGAATGAATGTAAGGTCTAACTAACTACATAAATGGCGATAATAATCACTAGATATCATTGCACGTCTGATAGACTTCCCCGAAGTCATATACGTGCTGGTCGATATAACATAATTATATAGACTGCAAATGCTCTTATATTCATACAGATTCCGTCGCAGCAAAAGAACCAATATAACAAAGGTACCTAGAAAACCTAGGAAAAACGTATCTCAATAGATGTGCGACTTAATTCCGTGAAGTTAGCTTAGGCTGAGGAGATATATTAAATTATAAGGTTTGCTTGCCAGTTGGCTAAACTAGATATACCCAGGGCATTTTTAATCTAATAATAATCTAACAAAAACAGTTAAGATAAATTAATTCATTTCAGGATCTGAATTCTACTTATTCTTAGCGTTAGCTAACAGGCTATACCAATTTAGCCCCAGCAAAACTGCAAAAGAGGCAATATAAAAGAACTACAGTACTACTTAGAGAACCTAGTTACCTAGAAAAAACTTAAATATATAGCTTAACCCGTTAAAATCAGCCTAAGCTAAGAGGGTGTTACATGTATTGGATCATAAAGCATTACTTAGCTAGACTAGGTAGTACCGTAGTTATACGCGCAGCTTTTTTGATGTAACACAAATAGCCACGATAGATTCATTCAGGGTCTGAATTCTATTTATTCTTGGCATCTCTAACGGGCTATACAGATGACTTCCGCAGGAAAAAGAACAAGGATCACTATTCTTCAATCCCCTTATAAATAGCTCGAGGTGCCAAAGTACAATCAATCTCCTGTAAAGAATGCTTGCCATCAACCACTTCTTTTTTCCATTGTTTTTCCATACAGTATTGTGATTCCTTCCATCCCAAAGATGTTCTGGCGGAAGTATCAGCTCATTTCTCTAAGTTGCTTGGCAACGCTGGGCCGTGAGTAGTCTCATCTTGTCAACACACTCTGTACCTTTGCTGATTGTGACCAAGAGTCCTTTCCGGCCTCAGTGGGCAACGGGGTCGCTGCGGCCGGCGGGGTCGTTGCACCCGTTGGAGAACTTCCAGATCATGCAAGTTGCAATGATCTTAGTCGTAGGTTTAGGTTATGCGGTATCATGAACCTTTACTGATGCTCTGAAGATTACCAATTCCTCAATGGTGGGGGGTTGAAGTCATCATATTGGGACCAAATTCGTGCAGGTGATTACCTCCAGCGTAAGTCTATCTAGGAATGCTCTTAAACAAGGCTATTGACAGATCCCAGATTGGATTAATAACAACCTGGATTCTTCCCATACTAACCTGGGCCCTGCTTTTGCGGAGCCATGGGGACTCGGCCAGAGCTTTGTTTGCACAATGACGACTTTCTGTCCCAGGCCCAACTGTGCCAACCTGCAGAACCCAAACGCAGTCGACAGTGCTCGCGCTTATCAAATCCTTGTTTCTCTGGCCAATATCAATCAGGCAAGTAAAAGCCGGCTTCCCCAACTCTGGTCGACAGGGCTTATTTGGCATTTAGTATCTATACTACCTCCGCCAGGCAATCGACGTCAGCCAGACACGATGGAACGGTCTCCAAGTCGCGCTGCAAGGCACTTTCTGGCCCGGACTGCTACCTGATGACATGATGGCTCATGACTTCCTCAACGGGATCATGACAGCCGTCGGCATCGTTGCGGCCATCGTCGGTGGGCCAGCGATTATCAGCGGAAAAGAGTTGGTAAATGGCTGGGCGCGTGGTGTCGACAAGAGAGTCAAGGCCTCGGATCAGAGCTTGGCGAATCTGGCCAAGATGGAGGCGTGAGCACCAATCTTCATGACATATCCTGAGCTGCTGCTGATGATATTTGATTTATTAGATCTGCCGCAGCTTTTTATCAAGGCGCTATCAACGAGACTGTGACCCTGAACGACGGGCTGATGTTTCAAGGATCATACAACGGTAAAAGCATTGTTGATGTTTTGGCGGATGGTGCTTGGCTCGATTATCACAAAATTCCTGTTCTCAACCAGGACACGAGCTTGCCCCGGATATCAGAGACTCAGGCCAGCGATCATTTCTACAACATGCTTCTGTGCTTCTCCATCAATTATGCATGGAAGCAGCAGAACGTCTATCTGATTTCATATCCGATGACACAGGATGAGTGTATGTGTTTCTCTTTACTGTGATCGCGGCCCTCGTCTTTTAGCCTGATGCTGATACCAATGGTTACAGTCGACAACCTCTCAGTCATATCCGGCGACAACGACGCCCGTCTCAAGCACTACTATGGCGGACGGGGCTTCTTTTTTCAGTCGTAAGTTTTATGTCACAGGGGTGGATCGGAACGTGACGTGACACTGACCATCACCATCGCAGCCTCATCATAAAGCCCGATCTTCTTGTGCACGGAGACTACCCACACCCCCAAAACCCTCCCGGGTGGAAAGTAAGTTAACCCTAACCTCCTCCTTTCCACCCTCTTGATACCGTTCGACCGACCTAACTCATTCCAGGAAATTGAAAATAACGGCTTCTCCACCTGGGACATCATCCAATCCTCCGCCAGCGCCTTCACCCATGGCGGCTTCGACTACCAGTTCGACAACGACCTGGAGTCCTACCTCGACTCGCAGGATTGGAGCACTCTACTGTCACCCCCTGCCTCACTCCCTGGTGTTTTCACAATCCCCCACTGCCAGGTCATGCCGAATGACGACGCGAAGAATATTCAGGCTTTCGCAGATTGGTTGGATGGGCCTAAGACAAACCTACTCAATAAGAAGTCAAGCTTCTGCTTGTGCAAGGATATCCAGGACAAGAACGGCAAGAAATTCTCTGACTATGTGGTCGGTGCGCAGGATATTCTCCGACATTGTTTGGAAAATGATTTTCCGGGTGTTAAGAATGTGTTTCTAGCAGTAGGTCACAGCAAAGGGTCCAGTGGATGATGGGCGCGAGATGGGTGCGAGATGGCACATAGCTTCCTACTGGGTCCTAAAGGGGGCTTCATAATCAGGACACAGTCTGGCATCGGCATCAGAATGAGTAAATTGTACAAGCAGTCACAGAGCATGGATTATATCTAGGTCAGGAATTCTGTGCAATTCATGGTGGTTAATCTTTACCAACAGCATGCAATTGTACTAGCTCAGGTGTAATATTTAGACGTAGATTAAAGGTTATTGGACTGCAGACAGAGACCTACATGACGAAATATTCATCAGATCAATTTGGTTCCATGCTCGTTGGTATAGAATCTCTATCCAACTTTGCAGCCTGGGTGACGTCCGCCCTTTCTGCGGCGTAATTCTGATTCAGATTTGTTTCTTCTTGTGATTCTTCAGAGGTTCCAGGTGGGGAGTGTGGGTTCAATTCAACTTCGTCGTCAGACATGTAAAAGTCTGTAAAAACATGAAAAAAGCGTCAAATCGCTAATAAAAGCAGACTGATGAAATTGATAAATGAGAAATTAAAACAAACTCAAAAACGAAAGCAGGGGGCTCGTAACCTCATGAGGGAACTGGAGAATGAAGCTGCATTGATTCGTAACTATCTACTCCGTAGAAGAGAGAGATGCTATGAGGCTATCTAACCAAGGCAGATAGCCCTTGGATTATTGTAGGGCCGTCTACTGACCAGCAGAACCTCTAAGACCATTACAGAGAGGTACATGGCCTGCTTATTTACTGATTATATTAGTTAGGCTTCGCCATGCTGCTTAGTTAGCACATAGCTTGGTGAGATGGTTAGCACCTAAGATGTTATATAGTTATTATTATCACTTAATTAATATAATTACCAACTGAGTTGGACACCCTAGAGACTATAACTCTCAAGGTGATATTCTCCAGCCAATAAACATAGTCTGGCAGTTGAAGTTTTGATGTAAATCTAGGAATCAAGTTAGTCAAGAGCGGTATCTTTATTCAGCAGGATATTACTTCTGAAAATTTTGCTTAACAAGATTGATATAGCCCTTAGTAGTCTTAGTGAGATCATCCTCAACCTTTGGCTCAGATTGCTGAATAAAGCTGTTCCAGTTAATATCGGCCTTCTTTGTTTTGCTTCGAGCAATTGGAACTGAATAAGACTGCAGGCACTCTGATCAAGATATATTAACATGATATTGGAGTCTCTGAACATGTTGAGGAACAATATCTCAAGAAGGAAGAGGAAAGCCTCTTATATTTTTTTTCCCCCTTGTCCTTAATGCTCTGCTTCTGCTCCTCACAATCATGGTGTATGCGCTGAGCTCGTCTCAAAAGAAGTATGTGAACTGCGCTAGGACGAACTGAGTAAGGTCCACTAGTTCTCATAAAGTGGCGATTCACAGCGTGGAAAGGCCACAGTTTCTGGCTCAAAAGCCACGCACAACCGTACCCAGACTTACTCCGTACTACAACGCCTCCACGCTGTGCAGTCCGCGTCCACATCGCGACGCGATTAGATGGAGCGCTTTTTTCCCACCGCACCACTAAGAGATCTAGTCCACTCCGGATCTCTCATCCAATTCCCAATTCTCCTCCATATCAATGTTCTGGTCCTTTGTATTCTACGGCTCTCTTTTCCGTTACTGCTCTTATATTGGCTTCCAATTCCCCATGACACACCGATCTTGAATCCTATCGACGGGTTGCAGTGTTGAGAACATGTCGGATCCCGAGCGTTCTGCTGCGGCATGTTCCTCCTCCCCGCCAACCGTACAGACTCCTGAATCTGCTACTTTGAACTATGCCTTCCTCGTGCACTCCCAGAAGACCCTCACCCAGAACCTTCCCCCGCGAATCGACAACAAGCTGCTTGCTCGTCAGAAGCGCCGTCGGACAAGGTATATATGAGCTCTCAATCCGAATCCGAAGTCGTCAATTGCCATTGACTGGCTCTGCTTGAACCATCTCCGCTAATTGCTGTCCAATTGTTGCCGTACAGTCCCGAGGACCACGCGATTCTCGAAGCCGAATATCAACGCAATCCCAAACCAGACAAGACAGCGCGCGCCAGCATTGTGAGTCGCGTCTCGTTGGGAGAGAAGGAAGTGCAGGTATGGTCTCGAGAACAAGCACGACGCGTCGACGGACTTTTCAGTTCTGATCATGCAACGCTCCAGATCTGGTTCCAAAATCGTCGTCAGAATGACCGGCGAAAGTCTAGACCCCTCCAGCCACACGAACTTCTCGCACCTCGATCGGACGTGTCTAGCCCTCCAAGACAAACTACAAGCGATGACAGCCCCTCTGCGGAGCCAGGATCATCGAGTGGGGGAGAACAGTACGATGGACGGGAACAAGACAGAGATTGTGCAGAACTGCCTTTGGAAGATGGCGTGCCGCAGTCTTCCTATGAGTCGGTACAAAGTGGAGGCAAGGACGGTACGGCACAGCTCAGTCTGAGCTCACAGACAAGCCTGTCGTCGCAGTCAAGCGAAAACAGTCAAGAGCTCCATGGGACCATTCCGGACACAACGTCGACTCAGCAAGATAACGACACGCCGCTTGATGACACACAGCTCTCTGCCAAGAGAAAGCGTTCCATTTCAGACCTGCGCGGAGATGTCCCAACCACACTCCAGCAGCAGCAAACTCCTAGCAGCCTACAGGTTCTGAAGTCGCCACCATCCCTACGTTTGTCACTGTCCTTTGACGGAGAGGCAATGGTACGAAGAGAAGGCGAGTTGACACCCTCTCCCCCGAAAGGGCGCAGCTCTCTCCGGATCGCCATGTCTTCGGATGGGAAAGCCGTCATCCGGACAGAAGATGAGCCATCCCCGTCCAAAGGTCGCATTTCCATGTTTTCCACAAGGAGCTCCCGATTCGCAGGGTTGCGTAGAAGCAGTAATGCAGTGGTCCTCGGCACACCTCGGGCTGGCGTCATAGAGAAGGAGAAAGCCTTCGGGAGATCTCGAGACCCTCGGAACTGGGAATCATTTTTCGACACCGACGCAAGAAGCGCTTTGTCAACTCCAGCCAGCTCTCAGAGTGCTCCTAACTCTGCCTCCCCTAACCTCATGCTTGCGCCTGGTCAGCGTTCTTTGACCCGAAGCTTATCTGCAAGACACACTACTCTGTCAACTTCGACCGCCAACGATTACCTCAACACTCCGATTCCACAGCATGCTGGTGGAAAGCGGCGGAAACTCTCGCGTACAGTCTCCTCTCTAGGCCGACTTGAGTCTGGCCATGGCAATCTCAACGGAACACCATCGGGCACATATAAGATTTCCAAACTCCGTGATACCATGAAAGACAAGGATGATTTGGATATCGAATGCGGCGACTCGGACAAAGAGAACTGGATTCCTGGGACCCGAGTCTCACATGTTCGGCGGCGAGCCGCCTCCCACCATCAGTCTCAGCGCCCAGTGCTCAAAGAAGCCAATGGACGAGATGGCAGGATAAACAGGAATCTAGCCGCAACAGGCAGACGTTCCCGAATTCCTCAACCCTCGCACCGCAAAAGCATCAAGTCCATGCCAGAGCTTGACGCGGATGTTTCAGCTTTCATGGCAGGCGGAGGAGTTGCAAGCCAAGAAGAAGACCTTGACTGTGTTCAAGGTCTATTATCCTTGAGTCAAGGCGCTTGGAGGTAGACTTTATACCCCTCCTTGACTTTGTCTCTATGATACCTTTGATTTCCTTTGTTCCTTTTCTTTTGTCCTATACTTCTTGACGTTCCTTTCTGCTCATGTTGGATGTCGCAAGCAAGCTAGAAATGGTTCCATGTATGATGTGGGAGCGAGGCTCATCTTGTAATGATTGAACTTTCTTTGCTTTGTGACATAAGCCTCGGTTGTACGGAACATACACCTTGCCCTTTGGAGGCTGTGCCCACTTGTTTGTGTTGACCACGATGATGATGAAACCCTTGTCATGAGATAGCCAGTGGATATTGATGTCAGGCAAGCTGTCTCACTAATCAGGCGACGAGGACGAATATAAATACTTCAATAGAACACCGATCCGTAGAGTAGTGCATTATTCCGATCGAGGTTGGATGCTGAGGGGAGGTTGAAGTTGGCAACTCCTGGCGGCAAGAAGAATGCAGGATGGACGCACGTGGTCCGCTGGCTGACTGATAAGGAATGCATCAAAGCGTTTGTGTTTCGTTTATCTAGCTCCGTCTCACTTTGATATATCAGCAAGTTGTCTTCGTCCCTGAGCTTTCTAAGGCAAAAGGCTCGAGGACCTGACAAATAGGAGTTATATATTGGAGAGGTAAGTTTGTATGAGTCGTGCTTTGTTTTATGCTCGTATTCTTCAGGACATGGTGTCTCGGTTTTCGAGTGAGCTTGTCAACTGTCTTAGCCCATACAACAGCGTTTATGTTTCGAATACTGATCTATCGAACTCATCTGGATGATCGAGAGTGTCATTCGATCCTTTTCTTGTTTCATACTGCTTACGTTGTGTTCTTCGACTTCGGTCTGAGCGCGTGCAGGCCCTCCATCTTGTATACAATCTACTATTGTTTATGCAAGAAGAGCATCAGCATTCTTCCCCGGCTGATTGTATCTGACGGAGGACTGTACTGACCGCGAACTGACAGAGTTCCTATTCCCAGACTGCTCCTAGCAAGGACGTTGCAATATTTGAACGTCAGAGCAGTTTGTTGCCACATCGTATTGCCACAATGGGCGGAGGCCTCAAAGTGGCTATTGTCGGAGCTGGCTTTGCTGGCTTACGGTGTGCAGATATACTAGTCCAGAATGGTGCTCAAGTTACCATCTTCGAGGCAAGAGATCGACTCGGAGGGCGGGTGCGTTCACAAGTACATTGATCATCACAAATCACTTACTGAATCCAAACAGGTTCATCAAACAAAGATCGGAGATCATCTTATAGACTTGTGAGATGTCCGGACCCGACTGCTTCGAAGAGTCTAAGTTAATTTGTCGAAAGGGGCCCTAACTGGATTCATGGTACGGAGAATAATCCCATCGCTGGCGTTGCAG